CTCCTAAACTACCGAACCGATATCAATCAAATTTGCACACCATGTGCAGTTTGATCTAACTTAAAAGATAGGATAGCTTACATCTCAATTTATACCCGCAATATTATTTTATTGCAAAATATTTGTTTATTATTTGATAGTCACAATTCTAACAGATGGCGCTGTGTTGAAAGTACCAACGTTTCACATAAGCAACAATTTAATGGCATAACCACCAAAAAAGCATGGTGGTCCCCATGACTGGTGTTCTCCTACCGTTTCCCTTGAATAGTTTACTACTATGTAATATAACAAAAACCTTAGCCACAGCAACTCTTGGCCGGTCTGCTAGTACATATATATAAACAAAAATTATCTATATATAATTATCTATACTATAGATAATTAGTAGTCATACTATAGATTCTATAGTATGCACTTTGCCCATTGCTTTATTGCTGCTTCGAATTGTCTTCAGGTTATTAAATTGATTATTATTTTGTGTCACTATCATAAGTATGCTATTATAAAGTTAAAAATTAAGTATGATTTGTTATGTTGTGATGTATAAAATAAAGTAAGACTGTTGTAGATAACACTTTGCAGAGAACAATCGACTGTTTGAGCCAATTTGTCTGCATAACTTATAAGCTGTTGGTAAATATCAGGGTCAAAATACAATGTATCCACCTGTGTTTGCCCGCGGGCAGTGAATAAACGCAGGTATCTTTTTATTCATTCATTCGTCAGAGGGGATTGATGTTTATGTTCACGCTTGAAAAGATGTTATGTTGAAATTAATTTGTCGTTTTGTTATGAATAAATCTGTGGCGTTCACGAAATTAAACGGTTGGCTACTAAGCCCTTTTCATCAAGGGCTTCATTGGTGAAATGGAAAACACCTACGTTATTGCACAATATATTTTTACCATCATAAAAGTGTTATGGTGGCTTACAATTTGTGTAGGAATTAATTAACTCGCAGAGGATAATAGTTTGAAACCTAGTACAGGAAGTATTTATTTGGAACTTATGTAATACAAAAATTATTTACGAATTTAAAATAATAATAAGTAATTTGATAATCCCTATGATTAATTTATGAATATTTTGCCAAAGATTTAGCCTTATGATAATGCAAAATGCTCGCTCCTGCGCTTTTTTTTAAACGTTAGGCACGGCGCGCATAGCTACTTATACCTATCCCAACTATACTGTAGTGTAAGTGTAAGGAATGCGACCTAGCTTCATAAGTCAACAAGAATTTAAGGAGCTTAGGCACTCGAGGTCGCCTTGCATTCTTAAGTAATTAAAAGAAATCCTTGTTATGGTCTAGATAATTTTAGTACTTCCGGAAGGCAGTTTTAAATAGGAGCTACAGCTTATTATGGACATAAACCTAATTTACAGTAAGAAAAATGGAACCGTCGGTATTTTATACCTATATATCTATCTAATACATTATTATATATAAGGTCTATATAACTTATATTTGATTGGAAGTTATTGGGTTTAATACACGATAAAATCACTTCAATTGCTCGCGAGATACAACAACATATTACCGAATTGAAGGAATACAAAAAAAAAACCATACTAAACAAACTCCAATTGATACTCTTTGCGTTATTAATTAAAAATATATCAAATAGTCCGTAGGTGCTGAAGGTATCTTACCGGTTCTCGATTTAAGCGAAGGGTGCGTGCAATACAAAAATTCATTCCCATAGAAAACAATAACTAACCGCTGTAAAGTGATACGGCTCAATCGGAAACGTAAATAACAGATAACGTGTAATTCAATATATTGCGGATTCATCACTTAACTGTACGATTCCTCACGATTGATTCACATTTAATTTTTGGAGGGAAGACGCGTGCCGGCCACGCGTTGACAGATTGCCGACATGTTATCTTTTTTAAAGCGCGGATTAGCGTCACGTGGTCTTAGCGTTTAATCTGTGGTTAATTATTATTTTTACCGTTTTATTATCTTTTAAGTAGAGATGCCCTGATGAAAGTTATGATGTAAAATGATACGGTTGCGCTTATGTAATGAGGTGCGTATTAGGTTATAAAAAGGGAGAGTTTGGGTCCAGATTTTGGTTTCCACGTTAGGAACATGAAAAGAAAACATAAGTCTTTATGTTTAACCGTGTCTTAAAGAAAATTGTAAAGGTTGTTGCTTACACATTAGCAATTTGCTATAGCCTATAGGTATATTTTCTTCCACATTTTGGCCAAAAGGCAAACCAAAAAAAAATTTAGTTGACGATATTTTTATTAACAGATAGAAAAAATTGATAATTCTTACCTGCTATAGATATGAACAAGAAATTAACTATTACAGGAAAAAAAACTCCATCAAAATAACATTATGTTAAATATACCTTTAGTAAGTTTATAAAGCAGCAATTTCCTTGAAATAAACACAGCTTTCAAAGCTCGATTTCAGAAGCGATCACAATATCAATGCTTTTAATTTAGCGGCGAAGCCCCAGAGGAAACCCTTGAAGTTACAAATCGATTTCTAGAGCTTTTTGACGAACTTTGTTGCATAAAGCTACCGACGCTATTTATTTATCATAATAGTACAATAATTAAGTAGGTATCTTAAGTAGAAAGTATTTATACTTAGTGACTCATTATAAACAGTTGTGTACATTTTGTAATCTCCTTATCAGCGTTACTCAGCGTTATAGCTCAGATCATGTGATGCGGCATATTTTAAAGCCACCAATTTCCTTAATCTGGAATTAGTTGTACATAAAATAAAATCATATATATTAGTGTTACGCGTCTCGCAAGACACGCCCCGGCTACATCGGTAATATTATTATTTACAATATTCGTGGGCGAGCCGGGGGCGAAATTGCTTGCGGGACCCGTTCATTCATTCTTGTTTGCCTCTAAATCTTTATTAACATGTCCTGTGGGTCTTTTCGGTCGACTATCATTTGTTGCTCCAGATCGTGCCTGGACGGTAATGAGAGAAGGCTCCGTGACCTGTAAGAATTTGCGCCATCTGGGGTGTGAAATGCTTCTGTTCGCTAAGTTTTTCCGCCAATTCTTTTGCTAGTGTCCGCTCTCTCGAATCCCGGTACCGACGTGCGCCTTTACCCAGAAGAGGCTTTATATGAGTTCCGCTTTTGCGGCACTATTATAAGCTCCGGCCGATCTCGGCTACCTGTGGATCGAGACATCGTCCCATCACAATATCCCTCCAATTGCATATAATGCTTACCTAGAGCCACTATAGAGTATAGATCTTTGCGTCGCACTTATTTCTATTTCATACGTGGTCAATTCGGCTTGAAAAACTGCGCAATGGGGTGACATCTTAATATTCTAGCTCTTTATATTCGTTCCATCAAATTTTTGAGGTTAATGCCAGCTGTGTTAAATCTAATTCCAGTGTTAATTGATTCGTGTATCGATCACATACATACAAAGTATGGTTGACGTCACTCACCCTGCTTCAGTCCACACTTCATCTTATACAAAACCGATAAGTCACCCTTCCGCACACTATTGGTACCAATATTTTGGGATATTTTTGGTATAATGAATAAACGTTTCTTTTTCCAAATCACAATCAAAAACGATGTCATAATATGTCCTACTCAGGTCCAAAACAAGAAACAGAAATAATTAAGCGATTTCACGTTTTAAAAATAGTGTACATAAGACCAAAATAAATATGTGGATGACCCAGGTCTAAAGCCGAAGTAGTTATCGTTTGACTTTATATATTTACTTAATTAAGTGTTATATACCATTTCGATATAATTGTTGCCAAAGACAGGCCTTTAGTTCGGTTGAGAGAGAGAGGTAGAGGTCGGCTGTCCTACTTTAACCAAGACAGTTCTTAAAATATCGCCAGGCATATGAAATAACGATAATATACTATACTCTCTTTATTAATATAATCCCTTTAATTACTTCAATAATTGAATTATATATAATTATGTTTAGATTCAAATTTACCTTTATTTGATCTATTGATCCGAAAGTAATAATTACAAGGTTACCAGTAGCGCGATTTCTTTAAAATAATACATTATCCAATATACACACCAAAGATATAAATTAAATTTTATTATTCTCTAATTCTGTCTCACTAAATCTCTTAAATTAATATTAATAATAAGCTAAAACTTGACTGTTCGCATGTATTTAGCACATATACATTTTGTATCCTTTTAAAAAAAGCTCTGATTAATTACCCTACTAGTACCATGAGTATGCGTGAGATGGCGTTAAAAATACAATTTGAATTCTTTTAATTTATTTTTCTCAAGTCACAATATTATGATTAAGAACATTAATTAATATTTATACAATTGTTTTTTTATGTTATGCAAATCATAGCGCCCAATAAGAAATTGTCGGAAGCATGACTTATGTTTTTTACTAATACCAACTTTTAGCACTTTCGTAGTCGCACTTTTTATAAATAATCTAAAAAATATAATAAATAAGATCCTGAAAATATTTCTCTTTTATAATTATTGTCATGTGTAAGACCACTGAGTACTATATACTATATAATTATACTATATGAGTCGTTACTTTAGTGTGGTTTCATAGGCAACACAGATCATATTTAAAAAATAAGGAACAGACAGGGATACACAGGAGAACTTTCTAATATATTTTTAATTTTTTAGGTAAACGAACAGCTGAAGTCACTCTAAAAGAACGCAAAGTTATCTTTAGAATGCAATGTGAACGCTACTTTTTGGAATAGCCAAATACAGCGCACTTCTATTATTGACAGCTGGCAACACTGATTATTTATTATTTTTGAGATTACTAATAGTCTGTGATTTTTTAAGACTAGTAACCAAATTGCGAAACGTCAGATTTTTGTGTAGTAAAAATTTCAGTCATATATATTATTTTAAAAACACGTAATCCCAAAATAGAATAGAAAAATATCGCACAAATAAGCTTGTGTCAGAGCCGCCGTTTAACGGCTATTGGTAAATTAGGGGTATAAAATTTTACATAAATGAATAATGTCGTTGCGGTCGAAGGCCCTAGCGCTGGTGGAAGTGTTGCTACGGGTACCGCCGCTGTTTGTTGTCGATGAGTTCCTCAAGATCAGCTTGGGCCTGCCCGTGTCCACCGGCGAAGAAGTGTCCGTCCTTTCCAACGTCACTGACGACCACGTCGATATTTCGGATGCAGAGGCTATCTATTACGACGCCAATTTTTACAACGCGTTTTTCTTCATATTCCTAAAATTTCTCGTCTGCTGTTTAGGTGAGTGTTTCGCAAGCAATGCAATAGTTGAAATGTTTCGCAATTGCGATCCTTAGTCCTAACTACTTAGCAACCTGTTAGTACCTATTATAGTTATCATTTTAATTCTCAAAATTATTTAGTAACATCTCCTTTAGTTAGTTATCAGCTAATTAAAAGTAAAGAAAAGGTAAATATTTACCTATGAGATAAAATGAAAGGGTTACAATAAAGTTACATTCCTTCTTTCTCTGTGAGCACTTAATTACTTCTAATTAACAGGTTAATTGTAGATCAAAAATCTTATTTAGTCATTTTCATAAATATAATTTATTTTTGTCTTTTAAAATTGTTGTTATGCCAAACTTTACTTAACATTGTATGGGTAAGAAGATGACAATATCTTATGATTTCTGTAAATCATGAAGTTAATATTTATATTATCAAAAATGCCATTCATTATCAAGTAAATTTATGTCACCCTATCATTTTAGACTCTATTTTTTTAGTATGGGATCTACTGACCAAGTTCAACTGATACCTCTTTTTAGAGTCTCTAGTTTGGGGATTAATGTTATAATTGCTATGCTATATAGATGTTAAAACCAACTTTAGGAGTGTTTCATGGATATTTGCTGGTATTAAGTATGTTCTAATACTATATGTTTCAACTCTTCAAAGATTGCGTCTATTTCTTTAATATTTTTTCTCATTAAAGGCAAGAATTTGAATTCTGTGACCAACATAGTTACACATTATTATGTTTAAGATGTGCCTGTTTCCTTTAATTGCTTATCTACCAAATACTAGTGATAATTTTGCTCTTTGGAAGAATCCATTGGTCCGCAGCCATGGTGCCGCCAACCACTTGGCTGGCTTTAGCTATTAGGCCACCTTTTTTTTTTCAATTGGTAGTAGTAATAGGTGTATATATGTATATATTCACCTAATTGAAATTGTTAATTATTGGCAAAATGGTATTTATCTTAATATTAGTAATATTATTAAGTGGTACAGAATGGTTCCACTATTTTTTTAGTTTGACTAGCTAAAATATGATTTTTAACAGCCAGATGCACTAATTTATACTTTCTTTATTTCATACGAAATAACTTTACAATGTCATAAAAACCTGTTTAATTTTTGTAAGAAACAGTTACAAATACCAATTTATACTCAAATTTATGTTTGTTTGGCTATATTTATTCAAGTTCCACTAACACCTTCAAACTATGAAAATATTATTCTTACAAACTACTTGACTATTTTAGAACAGAATATAATTTAATTATTTATTCAATAAATTTAAAGATTTTTTTTAATGATTTTACTACAAATAGGCCAGATCAAAATGTGTGTAGGTAATAACTGAGAATTTATTATTTTTAATTAATTCTAAAAACATTGTAATAAGTGTTAATTTAACTCACTGTGAATGGTCAATCTGTAGTGATAAAATGGGAAGACTAACTGTTAAATGTTAATGTAGTTTTTGTGAATTTATAAAGTATTTGAAGTATTTGAATCTCTTGAGTATAAAAAAACTTTATCTACATTTGTTGTACATCACGAAATTAAACGCGTTTTTTAAATAATTGGTTCGGCGTTCGTGACCTACTCGACTAAGGTCAATGAAATCAAGTATGTATTAAGTAAGTAACACCTCGGGCAGTTTTAATTTCGTATACGATTATAAGCAAATATTTTTTTCTGTTATTGTGTCTAAACATTCCATTAAGCTAAAAATCGTTACTGGTTTGGAACGAAAAAGGGAACTTTCAAACCATTTGCTAGAATCATTATTATTTTAAACAATAAAGATTAAAATCGATATAAAATCACAGTCATGATGACATTCTCAAAATCACGTCACACGTAACAAACTGATATACCGTCGTTTTAAGTCGGCTTAAACAAACCTACCTTCATAAACAGGAAGGACGTATTATCTTCGAATTAAATTACAAATGCGAGAACTAAGTAATGATGTAACGGGATATCTACGCTTATATATATCTTCGTAGATTTAGTTTCATTATGCGAATAAAAACATTACTTCTTAAAAAAAAATTACTGAATACAGATACAGACTCATTAATATTGCCAATAATAAACAAGAGTAATTGGCAAACTCTTGTCTCAACTGTTTCTAAACTTCCTCTACTTTCACAATTTTTTTGCACATAATTTAACAATATCCATAAAACATAAATATATAAGTGTAAGGTGGCCTTTTCGGTATTAATAGATCTCTTCACAGCATCCCATGCCAGTAGAGGAATTGAAATAGGTAGATGCTTAAAAAGTAACATTATTTAATGTTTGCAAGATAATTTGTTGGTTTATAAAATATATTAATACTGCTATGACCTTTAATTATGGACTGCGTAATGTTTGTATTGTTAGATTTCATTGTGAATTCATAAATTATAAAGTAAATTAGCGTATTCAAGGTAACTTATAAGGATATAATATGTCATGTAAAGATAAAGGAATGTCTTAGATAATAATGAGTGATTTAATTTATACTTTATGTATTTCGTTAGTAATTTTCCTTCGTAATAACTTAATCATGCAATTTCCTCGACTTCTAATAATTAAGGGTCCTAAAATATTAACACTAACAAATTTTCTCTTTTTCCAGGATGTATGTCAGCCCTCTGCATTTTCGTGTTGTGCACGAAACACCTGATTATAGTGTACCTCTACTTGATGTCCCTCGGTATTGTCTTCATCTCCTACTGGACTAATGTATCTGCTATCAAGCAAATCCAGGCACTGACCTTATCTGCGACATCCACTCAACCCTGTGCGAGTATTCTCGAAGATATTCTCAACCTAAACCTAAAGAACCTACTTGACCTCGATGGCCCAGGTATCCTGGTCATACAAAACTTCGCGATACAGTTCACCCTATCAGTTATCTTCAGAAATGTTCACCTCGGACCGCGCCAACAGACAGTCCAGAAGTTATTACCGATCGCGTTCATGGCACCATCATTTTTGGCAATGCTCCCAGTACCTCCTCATCTTTTACATCATTCACCAGTGTTCTCAGTGCTTTTACCTCTATGTCTAGTCAAATATGTCCTATGGTCTTCAGCTTATGACGTCATACAAGTAATCTACGCTGGGTATCAACATGGGAGGCTATTTGTAAGCAACTTCGGGCTATCTGCTCTTGTAGAAACTGAATGGATTCGTTTAAATATTCCTTGTGTACTGAGAGTGTTTTGGGTGCTGAGAGTTGCGGAACATGCTATGTTACTTCTCATGGAAAACTACGATGAAGACAGCGATGAAGGATTAAAAGTCTCCACATTACTAGCGGTCCAGTCTGTCGCCTCGATGGCTAAATCTTTGCTAGTAACAGGATGTGAGACTATCACCGCCGTTCTCGGCATGACCTCCGTTATCTCCTTCTTCTGTCATTATATCGGGAGCTTCTTCCAGTGGATCCTGCTGACAGATGAAGAAGAAGACAAGAGTATAGGAACTGTGTCTGCTATTCTTTTCTATATACTCGCCTTGCAGACTGGTTTGACAACTTTGAATCCCGAGAAGCGATTCGTTAGATTATGCCGAAATTTCTGTTTGCTGTTCACGGCCCTGTTACACTTCTTGCACAATATTGTTAACCCTATGTTAATGTCGCTAAGCGCTTCGCACAACCCTAGCACCCACCGGCACGTGAGAGCATTAGGCGTTTGCGCCTTTCTAATAACGTTCCCGATCTCATTACTAGTATATCTATGGTCACAGCACACGATTTCTACCTGGCTTTTGGCTGTCAGCGCTTTTAGCATCGAAGTTATCGTGAAAGTAATAGTTAGCCTCATGATATACTCACTATTTTTAATAGACGCATACAGAAGTACATTCTGGGAACAGTTGGACGATTATGTTTATTACATACGCGCGTTCGGGAACTCAATAGAGTTTTGCTTTGGAATCTTCTTGTTCTTTAACGGCGCTTGGATTCTGCTGTTCGAATCTGGAGGAGCGATTCGAGCGGTCATGATGTGTATTCACGCCTACTTCAATATTTGGTGTGAAGCGCGCGCCGGTTGGTCGGTGTTTATGAAACGACGTACGGCAGTTAATAAGATAAACTCGTTAAGAGAGGCTTCAGTACAGCAGCTCGATCGTTTGGACGACGTGTGCGCCATCTGCTACCAGGAGATGCACTCGGCCAAAATAACGCGTTGCAATCACTTCTTCCATGGAGTTTGCCTAAGAAAGTGGCTCTATGTGCAGGACCGCTGTCCGCTTTGCCATGACATTCTTTATAAGATAGACAATGATCCGACCAAGGACAATAATTCAGAGGCTAGCAATGAAGATAACAGTAATCAAAACATTCTCTTGGACGACGAAGATCCGGATCTCTTGCTTGGTGAAGGTGTAAGATGACTGACCGATGAAGACTTACTCAATTTAGAATAATTTAAACATAGTTTAATCGTGTTTTTTCAGTGGTATTTTTGTATATTTTATCAGGTGCAACTGTGATTAAAAATTTGTCTTTGTGATGGATGATGTGTGATTAGGTGTAAGTACCGGACGCTTGTGGCGATTTCCTATTGTTGTCTAAAATCTGCGAAAATTGCTAGTGCAAACAAAAATATTGATGTCTATATGCGGAGCTATTTGTAAATAGTTTTAGAAATAGCTTTTAATATACAGTCTAAATGATATCAAAATATAAAAATAGTAATTTTCTCACTAAAATGTAAATAAACTATAATTTAGTAGTAGCGAGTCGTTTTATTGGCTTTGTTTTTGTTGCGTCAAAAAAGAAATTAGGAGGTTTTTGCAAGTGAAAAAAATTTACAATCTGAGGTCTAAGAGTAAATACAACTAAAGTAGTAAATGTTTTTAATTAAATATAAGATCTTTATAATTAGACAAGAGGTAATAATTGGAAACACGGCAGTTAGTAGACGTCCGAACGACGGTGGTACGATCCGCGCGCTCGAAGTTTGCTTTCACGATCTCGTAGTAGCGGCCATCACTGAAATAAAAAATATTTTAGATTGTAAGGCTCATAACGGTAATCTGTGCAACATGAAACGCTTAACTCTAAAGTGAGCTCCTATAAGTCAAGGAGATGTTGATGGAAACAACTTTAGCATACATGGTAATGTACAACATTATTTGCCAAAATACCTAGTTTCTCTTTAAAAATTAATAATTAGAGTGGCGAAAGAGAATCAGCGTGGGAGTTCGCGAACTTTTACTTATTATGCGTCATTTCTTTAATTGAAAAGATGATATACTTTTATTTATTCATATTTACTATCGAAATGATTAAAGTAATATACGAGGGGAGGTCCAAAAGTTCGTGGAATGAAAGGGTTTTAGTAAAAATGAAACAGTAAATTTATTTTTCCTTTTCAATATAATCACCCTTAAGCTGAATACATTTATTAGATCTATGAATTAATTTTTCTAAACCATCGTAAAAATATTTTTTATCTTTTCCCTCAAAATGAGCCAAAATTGCCTCCTTTACCTCATTGTCGTCCGAAAATTTCCTTCCCCTTAAGTCTTTTTTTAAATTGGAGAACAAATAAAAATCACTTGGGGCCAGATCTGGACTATAGGGTGGGTGGACTAGTGATTCGAAGCCATGCGTGTGTAGAGCAGCCATTGCAACTTTGCTCTTGTGAACCGGCGCGTTGTCTTGCAAGAGCAACACACCCTTGGTCAATTTTCCCCGACGTTTTTCTTTGATGGCATCCTTTAATTTTTCTAGTATTGTTGCGTAGTATTCTCCGGTTATGGTCCTGCCCTTTTCTTTATAATCAATCAGTATTATCCCCTCACAATCCCAAAAAACAGTAGCCATCAACTTTCCAGCCGACTCCGACACTTTGAATTTCTTTGGCGGTGCTGTCCTCTTTTTATGCCATTGCATGGACTCTTGTTTGGACTCAGGCTCGAAGTGATGAACCCATGTTTCATCGCCGGTAACAATTCGCTCCAAAATCGATCCAGGATCGTCGCTACACAACTCCAAAAAATGTTTTGACGCTTCGACGCGCTGCTGTTTTTGAAGCGGCGTGAGCATTCTCGGTACCCATCTTGCACTGACTTTTGTCATACCCAGGTGGTCATGTAGGATTCGCAAAATTGTGGTATCTGATACTCCAACTAATGCAGATAACTGTTTTTTCTTCAAACGGGTGTCCTCCAGTACAATTTTTTCCACTTTTTCGACGATGTCTGATGTGGTGGCCTCAACTGGCCTTCCTGAGCGGGGGTCGTCTTCAATCGACTCCCGACCATGTTTTAAAAGACCATGCCATTTGTAAATCATTGATTTACTAGAGCACTGTTCCCCGTAAACAGTTTCCATTTAATTCAAAATGGTCTGAGCGTTCTTTCCTTGCTTGGTAAGGAATTTAATGACAACACGGTGTTCAATTTTCTCCATAGTTTCAGTTTTCTTCCGGATTGACGTGTTTAGTAGGCGAGTGTTCGTAAACGAATGACGCAATAGGGCTGAAACTCCATTTATGTACTAATTATGAGTCCCCAATTAGTATGACACTAAGCGAGCGCCCCTATCCCCACTCCATCCCCTCCATTCCACGAACTTTTGGACCTCCCCTCGTATATTATAAAGACCTAAGTTTTTTCAACAACAAAACTACTGCGACCAAATTCCACGACTGTTCTCTTACCACCGCATAGATTATTTCTGCTTTATTAAAAGAAGTAGAAATCATAAATTGTCTAATGAACTTTTCTTTTTCGAATAGTTTTCTAAGGGGCCGTTCAAGTATTACGTAAGCAGATTTACTGCAATTTATCCCCCCCCTTTTCAACAAAAAAAAAAAAAGCCCCCAAAAAAAAAAAAAAAAAAAACGTATTAGTTTTTTGTACGAATCCTCGAGCAAGCATATTGTATACAAGCATAGACAATCGGTAAAAAAATAAAAAATTACTGTTGACGTAATCATCAAAATCAAAGAACCTCCCCCCTCATAGTACTTACGTAATACTTGAACGGCCCCTAACAATAAACATCACAAATTCGATTCGTACGCATACTATACGCACGAAATTTCTATATCTCAGTTTTTTTTAAAAAACAATATATTCAGTAACGTCATACCTTAGCACAAGACTCTTGAGTTTAAGACATTTCACACGCAAAACATCGATTGCCTTCTGACTCTTGTCACTAAAACGTAGGTTTTCAGGATCCCAGCGCAGTTCTAGCCGCTCTAAGTTGGGGCAGCTATTGGCAATGCCGTCCATTAACTAAGTAAAAAAAAAAGGATTTAATTGAAATGCATTTTGTAAAGGAGTTGATGGATTCTTGATTTAATATTTCATATAAAGTGTTTTTGTATAAAAACTTTCGTTTTTATATAAAAGATTATTTTGTTAAATTCCTAAATTTAAAATGGGAAAAAAGGGAGAAAAAAAAAAAAAATTTCTCACCTGGTCCACGTGAATGTTGACACCGAGTCTTTCCTGTGTACCCATTATTAGTATCCTGAAATGTATTTTCAAATCCGTAAGTAATGACGGCATGTAGTCCATTAAAATGTTACAATTTGAGAGAGGGCCCATTGATAAAATTAAAAGTTAGTAAGCAAAAAATAAATTTTAAGTAAACTTTTTTCACGTTTTTTACACATAACTTTTTGAATTTTTGATTTATGATAAAAAGTTACACCGACATAATTGTAGGCAAAGCGATTTGCTACAAAATATGTCTTTACAAATTTTTTGTCCGATGGATAGTTTAGGAGATATAGCCAAAAACGTGTTTTCACCCCTTTGTCCAAGATGGCGGCCGGGGTACAAGGGCGCCAACCGCAAAAAGTGCGTTTAAGCTTGTATTGACCCCCCAAAGGGTCAATTGTCAATAAATAAAATTGCGTCCTCGATCAAATGTTCAGCCTATGAAACATTTCAATGGACTAATGTACAAAAAGTAATTTGTTATTCCATCCTAACGAAAATCCTAAATCACTGCGTATTTTGTGAAAGCGATAAAATTAGAGTGTGAACAGTGGTGATGGCTAGACTTTCAACCCTTGTAGTTGGGCGTTCGAATCCCGGTGGTGCAATAATAGTTTTTAACTATCTTCCACATTACTTGCTACGTACGTCTAAAGATAAGAATCACAGTCGAAACTTAGCGATAAGTATGACCCCGTATGTCAACTCCAATATGTTTGAAAACTTAAACGGCTGATCATCTACTTGAAGCCTAAGGACTAGTCTATAGTGCTACTGGATAGACCTTTTGAATCGATTTCTCGATTATTTAAATTGATTGTTTGATACATATCGTTGTTATTGTTTTTAATATACATAATGTTATAAAAGGGAATAGAATTACTGGTCAAATTTATGAAATCTTTAGGGAATTGATGAACTATTTAAGATTCTTCTAAAAAAATATCGGTCGAGACGCCGTTTTAGTAAGACAAGGCTATGTTTACGCATATTTACTTAGCATTAGTAAGCAGCTGAAGAACACTCTGCCATAGCTGATCAGTGATATGGGGCATCCCACTTAGCACCAGACCCGACAGTTGTGCCCCAACTCGAGACAGGAAGCGATGCAACGCGTCATCCGACAAGTTGTCAGACGAGTCCACATCCAGGGCTAAAAGACTCCTGAAAAAGATTGAGATTCTTCTGTGTAAATTTTGAAAAATGATAACTTATAAACGTCACCTAAGTTAACTAATCATGTTAATAATATTTACATAAATGGTTTACTTTCAAAGAAAGTGGTATATTCATATGCATGCAAATTGTTGTAAAAATTTATGGTCTGAATACTCTCCCACACTACAAAGGCACCATGCCTTTAAAAAATGTATCGTTTACCCCTTGAAAGCATTACACGGCAGTGATCTTTTAACTTCTGCACGTATTTAAATAATTTTCCTCTGTTTTTTATAACTTTCGTTCTATCGATACAATAAAATAAAATGGGTGTCTATGGGCTGCGTAGACTGCCCTTTTTGGTCGTCCCGCAAGCTCGTTTGCCCCCCTATTATATAAAAAAAAAAGTTTATATTTATTTCCGTTGTACAAAACAAAGAAATTACTAAAGGCGGTAGGTACTATTCTATTTTTTTATCTATTTATATAATTAGAAAAATAAATGATTTAAAATCACTTGACGCGTAGGATACATCCTAAACTTTGGGGCGTATGTTCTCACGTAATTAGTCTAAATTTTTAAGAAATGTTCAACAAAGTATTTCATTAAATTAAAAAAAAAGTTTTGACAATGACCATGTGATGTTTAAAATGGGATATAATTTAACACAGTAGAACTGTATCAGTTCAGTCGCGAAGATAAAAAGATTCATCATAATATATATTATGCTCTGTGTAACCTAACCTTGTAGTACCAGCCTCCAGCCAAGCCTTTAACACGGAGTCATTGAACCCATTAATTTGACCTGCACTTAGGAATCGAAGGTTCGGGATCCTGCTAAGCATGTCGATTAAACATTCAGTTGACAAATCCGTAGCTGTCACATCCAACTCCTGGATCGAAGACTTTTCCCACTCCACCTGCATCACGTATTCTGATTGAAGACCTGGAAAATATTCACTCGCATAAGTTCTGCATAACTGTAATACAACTTTGAACTTGAAGATATATTTTACTAAAAGAATCAACGAAATCGGGAGTTACTTTGATCTTTAAAGTGACGTTGATTCAACATAGTCTAGTCGACAAGTTGAAAATGGAACAAAAAGAACTGCTCTTAAAATTATGTGCGAAGCTCATTGGATCCGGAATGACCAGAAAAATGTGCTAAAAGCGTGTATTAGCACATAAAAAATGCAAAAGTTATAGACAATTAAAGTGAAAAATGGAATTTAGTTTTTTGCCAATATTTGATAAACTATTAATATTTAAGAAATTTCAAATAAACATTCAAAGGGGGGGAAATTTCCAAAAAAAACCTAAGCTCCCGGGAACTCTATCTCCATTATTTATAACTTTAATTTAACGCTGAAAATAGGTCTGCGCGTGACATTTTTAGGATTCGCGCGTGGCGTCAAAAGCGACTACGGCACATTAATTAATTTATTTAAGGTATTGAATATTTTTTTTAAAATTTGAAAAAATTATGGTGTGTTCTGAACACTATAATTAATTTATTCCCGTTGGAAATTTTACTTAAAGTTAATTTTTCAACAAGTTAACATTACTTTTGAACAAACCAAGACAGACGCCATTAAGATTTCAATCTTTATAAAGTTAGTAGCTGATCCGGCAAACGTCGTTTTGCCATGTATATCATTTTAAAATTAGGGGTTGTATGTATTTTTTAATGCTGTATCATAAAAAAATAAAAAAAAATAATTTATCTAAAAAATTAAAAAAAAATTTTGGGGTGGGTCCCAACATTTAGGGGAAGACAAATAGATGTTGTCCGATTCTCAGACATACCCAATATGCACACAAAATTTCATGAGAATCGGTCAAGCCGTTTCGGAGGAGTTTAACTACAAACTAGATTAGATACTCAAAGGCTTAGTGTATGAAGTAATAATAAGCATTTAGGTTTAATAAGATTACATACTGCATCCATTCATAAGTAGGCAGGTGAGTCTTCGCGACCTTTGGAAAAGAGTCTTCATAGTGGAACCCGTTACCTTATTGCAGTAATTCACTGCTAGACATTCTAACTGAAAACATAAATTGTTTGATTAGACTACGTTTATCGAACTTAATGTAAGACCCACAGGGGCCGTTTGAGTACCTTTAGGCGCGTTATGAAAAATTGATGAGAGTGAAATTTTACGATGCGCGCGCACCGTGATACAAAATTAACAGAATGAAGTTGCCCACGGAAGATGCTACGTCATTGGACATAATTTAAAAACAACATTCGAATAATAATAGAATTTATGTAACACTTAATGTATGAGAATAATAATAAATATTTATTTATTTAATTTTTCAAATGTAAACTGAACTTTATTGACTATAATGACTCCTTTTCCAGTCTTTGATTATTTAATTGTAATTAATTATTTGCATGCTCAAAAACTATTTTTAATAATGCCAAAGAAGTACTCTTAGCGCGTACATAAGTACACACTTTTTTATGTAATAGGAGGCAAATGGGCAGGAGGCTCACCTTGTAAGGTGTTACCGCCGATGGACACGCACAATGCCACAAAGCTCGCAAGTGCGTTGCCGACCTTTCAAGAATTGGTACGCTCTTTTCTTGAAGGACCCTAAGTCGAATTGGTTCGGAAATACTTCTGTGGGCAGCTGGTTCCACATAGTGGTGGTGCGCGGCAAAACAACAATACCATACCGTAACAACCATATTTGTATCATGAAACAAGTTTTATTATTATTATTATCAGTGTGGTTTTTCTTTGGAGCTTTAGATACTCTTAGGACAGAACATATTTAAGCAATATTTCAAAATTACATATCTAGGCATTTTAAGTACTTTATATAGTCGTGGTCAACAAGTCTAGTGTATAAAATTGGTGGTACACACCTGAAGCAATTTATGATATACCTGAATACAGTTAGAGCTGAAAGCATCAATATGCGAATCGTCCACAAAATTGATCCCATACAAATTAATCACGCGCAGGTTGGGCGTGGCCGACTTGAGTTTGTGTACGTTGATTACTTCGTAGATCTCCTCTTCTTCTTCTTCTACCTTCTCATACGTGCCTGGAAGAGATTTTCCGATTAAAGTACGTCATGTACGATCAGACATCAATTCATCAGTCGGGTTATACAGACTGCAGAATAAAATAATTCTCATAAGCTTCAATTAGCAATATGTTTGGATTTATTACTAACACTTTATATTACCAAACTTTTTTTATAGGATAGAAATGAGCCTACGGGACGCCCAAAAAGCCCATGGATACCTATTTTAGTGGGTGCTTTGTCGGCCGCTCTTCCTGATCTTCCAGGGAAGACCTCCACCGGGAGTCTATTCCACGGTACGCTAGTTCACAAATGAAATGTGAAGCGGACTGTGGAATATGCCAATCAAGGTGATCCACATTAAAGCTTTATCATATCTATACCGTTTCTATTAAAAGGAATTTGTAAATTGTATATTGTATTCAATAAAAACCTTACCAATGAGGTGCAATATCTCCAGGCCGTTTATAAAATTGTAAATCTTCCTCATGAAGCCTTCCATAAAGATGACTTCTGACAGGCAGATGCAGAGGTAACGCAGCTTCGTAGGAAACGCCTGCATCTCTGAGAAGTCATGGAGTTGCATCGCTGAAAAGAAATTAATGATTACTTTAGGATATCAAAAGTGTCGATTGATAAGTTTTTTTTTCCTACATGTGTCTTCACTAAGACATCATGGGACATTACGGTCTAGCCTAACTTAAGACTAATAAGTAATTCAAGTCTAACCTAACTTACTAAAAAGGAATAAGGATTGATAAGTGAGTCCACAAAATGGCATGAGAATATCTTTTTTTTTATTGATAAAAAGCTTGCCAACGCTCGGCACACTAATACATTGGTATAAACAAACAAAAAAAACAATTTTTAATGTGACAAGCACTTAAAGGCAAACATGACATACATGTAGAGATCATACAAATATCAATCAAAACAATTATTAAACAAAACAAACATTACAACAAAAAAAAAACAATTGCTAATCAAAAAAATTAAAATTACAAAAAACTAAACAAAAATCGATTTTATAGTGTGAGGGGAGAATGTGAAGGCTACGTTGATCATTTTTTTTATTTATTATATCCTTTTTTCAGTTTTAGTCATAGTCTGACAGTTTGAGTAATTTATGCGGCCTACCCAACAGTCTTGTCTTTTGGTATTGTTCGCGAACGTTATACGCGTTGCAGACCAAGGGCTAAGTACTTAGTTTAGCTCAGCTCGCATAGCTGACGCAATTTTCCATACATCTTGCAGACCGCAAACTATGCGAACAGCTATGTGAGCAACAAAATATGCGGCTAAGTTAGTTGTGTATGCCGGCCAGCCACGGCAAGCAAGCCCCCCCGCTTCCCCGCACACCCTTTCCAAGTAGCAACACTAAACTGAGCTTTGGGTTAGCTGTTGGTGTGCACGCTATTTATTTCTAGCTTAGCTTAGCCTGCTCTTGTCATAGCTTTTTGGACTTGACATAGCTTAGTTTTCGGTCTGCAACCGGCTCAAGCCAAGTTTTGAGTTTTGCTGCACGATTACTGCAAAGGGCCTGACTTGACAGGTCCACTCAATCTGTGTGGTTTTACTTCTTTCCTCTAAAGACCATTTCAGACTGCAGTCTACATGGTCTTCATATGATCTGACCAAGATTATATCTGGTCTTTAAAAGAGACTGTGACCTCTGAGTTTGTTTCGGCGTTTCTTCTCAGAGTAGTCAGATAGGAAACGTCGAACTCATCTAGTTTTAAAAAAATATGCTTGACGTGTAAAAGTGTTTGTACAAACCTACTTACAGAAAATAAATCATTTATCAACTATGGATATCCAGACCTAGCTCGTTTATCAGAATGCTTAATCTGGACATCGGTGAGCTTTGACCAAAACGCGTTCTACGGAACGGGACAAATGGAATAAGCGTGGAGGCAAGATAAGAACTAACTCCGGGCGATTGTAAGCAATTTAGAAATTCTTGTTTGAGATTTCTCGTAAGTAAAGTATATTTGAAATGTTAAAAAAAAATTATTACGATAAGACAAAAATATAACTTATCACTTAAATATAATTTTTACGTTTAAATTTTGATTCTTATAAAATGATGACTAGTAAATTTTAGGCTTAACTTTTTCAATATAATTTTTTTTTACTCAATTATTATTTCATGGTTTCGGAATAATTCGGTTTTAATAAACAAACGTTTTCTTACCAGTACTGAAGTCCAGTAGCATATGAGTCAGATTGGGGCACTTGGCAGCTAACTCATGGAGTACTGTGTGAGTTATCAGCTCAATCGGGAGTTCGATGTAGCGAAGAGATGGGCCGAATCTGATCGAAATCAATGCTAGGAGAGATTCTAGGGAACCTATAACATTCATTTTATGCACAATAATACTTTTAACTATACTTTTGGATAATAACTAATCTTGATTTGTACAGCAGTGTTGGCCTTGTGGCTTCAGCGTGCGACTCTCCTCCCTGAGGTCGTAGGTTCGATCCTCGGCTGTGCACCAATGGACTTTCTTTCTATGTGCGCATTTAACATTAGCTCGAACGGTGAAGAAAACATCGTGTGGAAACCGGCTAGCCTTAGACCCAAAAAGTCAACGGCGTGCGTCAGGCCCAGAAGGCTGATCACCTACTTGCCTATTAGATTATCAAATGATCATTAAACAGGTACAGAAATCTGAGGACCTAAAAAAGGTTGTAGCGCCATTGATTTATTTTATTATTTATCTTGATTTGTAAGTAGATAAGAGCTGCTTATTTAGACATTAAGAGATAATAAATTTTTAAATCAGTTTATACCGTAATAATAAACCTGTTAGAACCACTAAAATCTATTAAGAATCGTTCAGCTTTTTAAACATTCTGAATGGCCTTACCAACGTGTAAACCAGAAATCTCGGGTCTCAAACTGACATGGGTCCACAATCGCGTGTCATATGCAACCATTCGCCAACGTTTGCACACGGTGGCCATGCGACATATTTCCCGATGTGTGAGGTAGCAGAATATGTTCAGCAACACTTTATCTGGCAGCTTTTCTATAGTCTGGAACAAATATTTTCGTATAAGATAACATCAAGCTTTTGAAGTAAGACTGTCGACAAAGTATTTTTTACCTATTTTGACAGATCAATCAACAATCTTCCTGTAATCTACAGTTAAACTTAACAGTCTTAACCTTAAAATATATTGTTGTGTATTCTACAACAAACAAATATATGTGTTATATGTTTACTCACGTTTTATAGCATTACAAATAATCTAAAACCTCAATAAATTGGTGTAGAAAGGTTAGAGAAATTCATAAACAGGTCAAGAACACAAACAATATCATCGTTTACCGTATTAGCAAAGGGACTCCTCATTCCACCTTCAGTCAAATATACCTGGCTGGCCTCGAGGGCCAGCTGTCCCCAAACATCTGTTGGTATATCCATAACTACACTTAATCACTACAAATGTATAAAAATGCACAATATTACTGATATTAGGGAGGAACCACGGTCGTATCTAAGAAAAGCCGAGTTAATTTTAGAATCAGCTGGTCGGCTCGGTTGGAGTAGGAATCAGTTGGAATACTTTTTAATTTATATAAAACCTATTTTGAAACGGAAATATTTTTAATAAAAAAGGCGAATTTAAATAGGTTTTATTAAATAAAAGTTGGAGGAGGCGGAATAAACCACGTGCGTTTGAACAATTTCAAACGCCTGTAAAAATAATCGTGAATTTTGTTTTGAAAATTGTTGGAAATATTTTAAATAATTACATAAGACGGTGTTACGCACTTTTATATGACAAAAAGTAGGTATAAAGTAGAGTATATAAGCTAATATCCTAATGGAAAAAGATATTCTTGGATTGGAATGATCGAAAATATAGTAATTATAAACGCCTACTTAATTTTAAAGAGCAAAATGTAAGAAACGTTACACACAACGTAAAGATACGTAAAAAGTGAAAAACCGACTTGGCTCTTTTTCCTCCTAAGCGGTATAACGGGATATCCAGTACTCGTATCCTCCATTTTGAAGACAAGGGGTCGTGCAGGTAGATAAGCTGAAGCATTTGTTATGTGTTAGTAGCTCCTGTGTAAGAAAATATTAGATTAGTTGCGTGAAATAACACTGGCATTCAACTTTTTACTTCTTTATTAGAATTAGTACTATCTAGTCGAAGATAGAGGTGTCGCTACAAAATGTTTGTTTAAATTACACCTCATAATTGCTGTTAAACACAAAGTAGAACAGTGGTCATAAATTGCTTAGTTGTTAGTGGAAAAGTTAATTTTTCGCAGGTAAAACACATTTAATGTTACTTGTGTAATTAAAATAAAGTCTTACTCTCTGTATAGCAGATTCTCATACTAAAGTCAATTTGTGTATATTGGAATCTTCAGTATTTTCTCTATAGGAGCTTAAGAGCAGGTAAATTTCAGAAATTTAAAGCCCCATACAGTGGCGTAACTAATCTAGGGCCGTGGCAAATACTTTTTATGGGGCCTTACGAGTGAAAATCGATACGTTGTACTCAGTTCAATTTTAATATACTTCGAGATTTTCAGCGTACTCAATTACACGTTGTATATGTCCCACTAATGGCCATAGGCCTTCTCTCTTAGGCGAGAGGCGTCTGTAGTCCGCACGCTAGCCTGATACGTATTGGAGGCTTCACATTCATCCATTGAACATAATATCTCTTGGTCAGGGGTCCTCGTGGGTCGGGGGCCCGTGGCATTTTGCCAGCCCTGCCACCCTATTGTTACGCCACTGGCTTCGTACGTTAAAAGTGCATTGTATTTTAACATATACGGGTGATAGTTCGCGCATACACCTTTTTTTAATGTCACCCGTGTCGAGATTTAGCTCGAACCATGAATTATGTCAAATAATGCATTTTAATCCTTAGTTATTATTATTCGATCAAAGGCCAATTTATAATAATAAATCAATTTCAAATCGATTAGAGTAATAGCAATCCGTTTGCCAAAACATCACTTAAGATTAAAATCAATTGCTTTGAACATGCAACGACTGTTATTTATACTTTCTGGTTATTCCAACAATAGATAATACTGGTGTACCTGTAATCATATAACTATAGGTCATCATAGAACTAATCGAGTGAATAATACTCTGTCTTCGATTTTATTATATACCTATTGATGTATAAAAGTCGAAAAGCCCTTTTGCCTTATATTTTGGCTAAAAATATTTACTGAATTCTTTATCACAATATTTTATGTGATAAAAAGGTCACCTGACAGAGACCAAACAAATTGCGGAATTCACTTAAAAAGTAATGAACTGCAAAAGTCTACGTGATATATTCGATTTGGCGAAGAATGCGAACTAATAAAATGCAAATTGACACTTGTTTACTGTCCTCTCCCATGTACTATGTACTCACCCAATTAAATGTGTTACCAAGTATAGATTTAATGACAATTCAAGTTATTTTTTTATTCACTATTGTTTGTTAACAAACAGGTTATAAAATAGAATAAATACTAATAGTACTTCATTTTTTTTAAATCTATTATTTGAAGTGCATTGTTGGCCTAGTGGTATCCGTGTGCGACTGCATCCCTGAGGTCGTAGGTTCGATCCCCGGCTGTAAACATTTCACACTCGTACGCTCGGCAATCGGCACGCTCTAGACCCAAAAACTGTGTCACAGGAAAGCCTGAACACCTGCCTATTACAAAAAACAAATGATCACGAAACAGATACAGGATCTGTGCCGGTTTTTATTATAAAATTTCTTTATATCCATAATTAAGCAATGGATTCTTATATGATTATTTTATATTTACTAGCAATATGTAAGCAGTTTGCGCGTCTCTCGCGTCGTAGTAGAGGTTCGATTCCCGGCTTTTTACCAATGGAATTTTCAATTACATGGAATCGTAATGGATTTTTTTGTCTATGTGCGCAATCAATTTGCTCATACAGTAAAGAAAAATATCGACAGGCATATCTAAGACGAAAAAAACGAAGGCCTGTGTAGTTTTGTAAGCTTCTATTGGGAAATTATAAAAAAAAGAGACTAAATCATTGCAGCGCCACACTTTTTTAACCAACTTCATAAATGTTTCTTTTATGCTATTTATTGTATCAAAGGTATCCCAAATATGCCAGTAATTTTTCCCGTCTGCCGTTTTGAAACTTAGCCGTCGCGAAGTATTTCCTGCCGTTCTGAGTCACATTCTAAAGTCTGCAAAATTAAACACTACCCATCCACATTTCATGACAAAATTTAATTTAGGAGCGTTATAAATAAAAGGAAAAACAAAACAATATCGCTTATCAAACAACGCTAATCAAACGTCTCTCGATTTACAGTCTCTGTCCTTACTTCAAATTAAGTGTCGAATATAAATTCGACAAAAGATTAAGTCAAAATTCTCTAAAGGAAATGGCTCTTTGATCAACATGTTAGTCACACTGCAACTTGGAACAATAATAATGTATCAAAGTCTCTAGAACTTAGTATTGAATATGTATAAGTAATGCTTTAAATGATTTAAAGGCTGGTATTGAATGAATGAAATGCTTGGAGCATTAGTTAGCTCGAATAAAATTGACATTTAAGACATGTCAAATGATTAGAATTTATCAGAACATTGACCATCCTTCCAGAAACTGCCATGCGATTCTGTAACTCACTTTTCAAACTCACACAGCGGTTTTCGCATCGGCGGTCGCTCTCAAATCAGTCGTGAAACAGTCATTTTATGATTTGGCATTCTGATAAACAATAAACTACAAGCTCCCACCTTTTCAAAGCGAAAACCGCTGTGTGAGTTCGAAAAGTGAGTTACAGAATCGCAGGGCAGGACCTGCAATAAATACCTTGGTATATATCGAATCTATTGCTTTAGTAAAATTGTCTAGATGTAGAATATGCGTGATAATTTAGACACATATATATAGATTTTTTATTGATATGATAAAAGTCAAAATATAACGTCTTTTCAACTCAAATAATGTCAATATGTATAGCGAGCAGCGGGTTAGCCGACCATGACGCCTAGTTAGATTAATTAATTAATTATTATCGGCTAATTTTAGCTCTGGCTCTAGAGTCTTGGCTTGGATAAGATGTAGACGCTTGTAATATTGTTAACAAGATATTATAACAACTTGATTCGTATATACGTACCGTGTGTCCATAATATGAATAAATATTAACCTATCATGTCCGCAATCATATTTTATGTTGGTAAATAGACAGGTATAATCTACCTTAGTGGAACTATTATTATTTCGTCCACCTTAAACAAAAGATTAAGCCTTTTTATAAGTCAGGCTTAAACAAATCAGCAGAGCAGTGTTGGCCTAGTGGCTTCAGCGTGCGACTCTCATCCCTGAGGTCGTAGGTTCGATCCTCGGAATTGCACCAATGGACTTTCTTTCTATGTGCGCATTTAACATTTGCTCCAAACGGTGAAGGAAAACATCATGAGGAAACCAACATGTCTCAGACCCAAAAAGTCAACGGCGTGTGTCAGGCACTGGAGGCTGATCACCTACTTGCTTATTAGATTTAAAAATGATCATGAAACAGATTCAGAAATCTGAGGCCCAGATCTAAAAAGGTTGTAGCGGCACTGATTTTTTTTAAAACAAACCAGAAAAAAATTAAGTGCCGCAATTTTTGTTGTTTTGTTGATGGTTATAAACATTTGTAAAAACCTTTTATACTAACCACTTGATAGGTTTCTGTTTATAATGGGACATCGTCTACACAAACATCGCAATTTTACATCTTTGAAAAGCATTTGGTATCCAAATAATCCTTATTTATTTTGGCCTATAATTTTGGCTGTTAATATAAAACTGGCATGTTACATCTTGATGATTGACGTCAGAACAATGTTAGAAAAATATTAATTTCTATTCGCATCTGGTTTCGTGACACAAATTGTTTAGTTCTTAATCATAGTTATTTATGTTATTATAGATAGAACTGTGTTAGATTTACTCAGCTTCTTTAGTTGAGATATCGACATCGCCTAACTCGTCCTAGGCGATACAGACTGGCATTATTCCAGAAAAAAAAGGAATAAAAGCAGGAAAAGTAGAAACAAGATTATCATTTTCATACAATTTATATAAATATAAACGAGAGTGAATAAAAATTAATAATACCTATCCTCGAAAAATTGAATAGAAATATTTAAGGTACCTACGTAGGAATCAATTAGTATGTATTATTATTATCATTATCATATAAATAAAAAACTCTATGAAGTTCGGACTAAGGAAAGTATACTTTTAAACTAAACACTTACTAAGTATGAGATAACCGATAATGTTGGCTAGTATAATAAAGTACGTACGTAGTGATAGAATTAAACTTATTTTAATGAAGTAATAAATAAAAAAAACTTACCACATGCTTCCGCCGGAAACTGGCGCCCGTATCATCTCTAGAGATAATAGCTGCTGCACTGTCCACATTCAATATACCCCAGGAATCCATTTTAAGGCAACTGTCCAAAACGGGCTACAATAACACTTCTGACTTGGCACACAATTTTTTTACCAAATAAACCTCGTACCTCGAAACGGCGGAAAAAAAATAAACGTCAACACATTTTGGCGCGAACTCACAAACTGCCTGTCGCGTCCCTACTATCACTACGCGCGGTAAACGTTTAATTTTCAGTGTAGCAATATGTATACTTAATTATCACTGAGCAAAGTCTGTTCATAATTAAGACAACATAATATTTTAGTCTATTGCCAAAAGACTATTTTTCGGATACAGACTAAACCCGGTAAAACAAATTTTCTGCAAAAAAATACCTATTACAATTATTATCGGCGAGTGGGCTAGAATCGTTACATGCGCAGAGGTAAAAGCATTAAGAAATATGAAAATAATCTACTCAGAAAGCCAGATAGTGCAATTCAGGCGTGTTTCTAGTATCTGGTATTTAAATTGGCAAGCCAAAATAAGTTCGGCATTTCGTTTCAACTGGGTTGTAGTGTGGTGCCAAGTATTCCCATTGCATGCGTGTCATGCACTGATGCCGATGGACGGATGTAGATCACTTTTCAAACATTGTAGGTATTATTTGACACCAGGATTATTTATGGGATTGTTTGATGACCAAGAAGTTAAAAAACATTTTAACCTTCAACAACAATAAAAAAAAAATTATATTAAACTATCCAAATTTTTACTCAAAATAATATTTTTAAAAGCTTTTTAATATTAATATCTCCTTTATTCCTCTTGCGCCGCCAACAAACGTTAATATGATAATAACAGTAATAACAAAAAAAAATGTCAATTCATTGTCTAATGAAGAAAATTATGTTACAGTGAAACTACTCCACTGGATTCACAAAGATTAGATTGATAATTGTTGTAATATGAAAAGATACTTAATGCACTCACACACATAAATACAGTTGCTTTAATTTATAAACAGGCGCCGTAAATTTTTATACGCCGTAAGTTTATAAAAAACTATAATTTGAATTAAACTATTCTTGGGACAATTGTTTTCTATACAAAACAATTGTGACAGGCGAATCACACTAATGTGAGTAGAATTTGCGTGATTGCGTGATAATATTGAAATTTAAAGAAATACGTCTTACTTTATACTGCTTAGATTGCCTTAATAAAGTATTCTTAACTTACTAACCACTTAATTATAGGTATCTCAATCCTTGATCGGGTTAAATAAAAGTCGAAAGATGATTTATTAATAATTTTTAGAAGAAATTATTCATAATCATGAAATAATAATTTTATAACTTTCGTTCTATCAATAAAATAAAATGGGTAGACTGCCCTTTTTGGTCGTCCCGCAAGCTCGTTTGCCCCCTATTATATAAAAAAAAACAAAGTTTATATTTATTTCCGTTGTAAAAAAGAAATTACTAAAGGCGGTAGGTACTATTCTATTTTTTTATCTATTTATATTATATAATTAGAAAAATAAATGATTTAAAATCACTTGACGCGTAGGATACATCCTAAACTTTGGGGCGTATGTTCTCCCGTAATTAGTCTAAATTTTTAAGAAATGTTCAACTAAGTATTTTATTAAATTTAAAAAAAAGTTTTGACAATGACCATGTGATGTTATTAGTTATAGTAGAACTGTATCAGTTCAGTCGCGAAGATAACAAGATTCATTATAATATATATTATGCTCTGTGTAACCTACCTTGTAGTACCAGCCTCCAGCCAAGCCTTTAACACGGAGTCATTGAACCCATTAATTTGACCTGCACTTAGGAATCTAAGGTTCGGGATCCTGCTAAGCATGTCGATTAAACATTCAGTTGACAAATCCGTAGCTGTCACATCCAACTCCTGGATCGAAGACTTTTCCCACTCCACCTGCATCACGTATTCTGATTGAAGACCTGGAATAATATTCGCTCGCATAAGTTCTGCATATCTGTAATACAACTTTAAACTTGAAGATGTATTTTACTAAAAGAATCAACGAAATCGGGAGTTACTTTGATCTTTAAAGTGACGTTGATTCAACATTACTTTTGAACAAACCAAGACAGACGCCATTAAGATTTCAATCTTTATAAAGTTACTAGCTGATCCGGCAAACGTCGTTTTGCCATGTATATCATTTTAAAATTTAAAATTAGGGGTTGTATGTATTTTTTAATGCTGTATCATAAAAAAATAAAAATAAATAATTTATCTAAAAAATTAAAAAAAACATTTAGGGGTGGACTACCCTTAACATTTAGGGGAAGAAAAATAGATGTTGTCCGATTCTCAGACATACCCAATATGCACACAAAATTTCATGAGAATCGGTCAAGCCGTTTCGGAGGAGTTTAACTACAAACTAGATTAGATACTCAAAGGCTTAGTCTATGAAGTAATAATAAGCATTTAGGTTTAATAAGATTACATACTGCATCCATTCATAAGTAGGCAGGTGAGTCTTCGCGACCTTTGGAACAGAGTCTTCATAGTGGAACCCGTTACCTTATTGCAGTAATTCACTGCTAGACATTCTAACTGAAAACATAAATTGTTTGATTAGACTACGTTTATCGAACTTAATGTAAGCTTTAGGCGCGTTATGTAAAATTGATGAGAGTGAAATTTTACGATGCGCGCGCACCGTGATACAAAATTAACAGAATGAAGTTGCCCACGGAAGATGCTACGTCATTGGACATAATTTAAAAACAACATTCGAATAATAATAGAATTTATGTTACACTTAATGTAAGAGAATAATAATAAATATTTATTTATTTAATTTTTCAAATGTAAACTGAACTTTATTGACTATAATGACTCCTTTTCCAGTCTTTGATTATTTAATTGTAATTAATTATTTGCATGCAATCAAAAACTATTTTTAATAATGCCAAAGAAGTATAACTTCTTACGCGCGTACATAAGTACACACACCCTTTTTTATGTAATAGGAGGCAAATGGGCAGGAGGCTCACCTGATGTAAGGTGTTACCGCCGCCCATGGACACTCACAATGCCAGAAGGCTCGCAAGTGCGTTGCCGACCTTTCAAGAATTGGTACACTCTTTTCTTTAAGGACCCTAAGTCGAATTGGTTCGGAAATACTTTTGTTGGCAGCCGGTTCCACATAGTAGTGGTGCGCGGCAAAACAACCGTATACAACCATACCACACCGTAACAACCATATTTGTGTCTTAAAACAAGTTTTATTATTATTATTATTATCAGTGTGGTTTTTCTAGAGCTTTAGATACTCTTAGGACAGAACATATTTAAGCAATATTTCAAAATTACATATCTAGGCATTTAAAGTACTTTATATAGTCGTGGTCAACAAGTCTAGTGTATAAAATTGGTGGTACACACCTAAACCAATTTATGATATACCTGGATACAGTTAGAGCTGAAAGCATCGATATGCGAATCGTCCACAAAATTGATCCCATACAAATTAATCACGCGCAGGTTGGGCGTGGCCGACTTGAGTTTGTGTACGTTGATTACTTCATAGATCTCCTCTTCTTCTTCTTCTACCTTCTCATACGTGCCTGGAAGAGATTTTCGGATTAAAGTAGGTCATGTACAATCAGCCATCAATTCATCAGTCGGGTTATACAGACTGCAGAATAAAATAATTCTCATAAGCTTCAATTAGCAATATGTTTGGATTTATTATTAACACTTTATATTACCAAACTTTTTTTATAGGATAGAAATGAGCCTACGGGACGCCCAAAAAGCCCATGGATACCTATTTTAGTGGGTGCTTTGTCGGCCGCTCTTCCTGATCTTCCAGGGAAGACCTCCACCGGGAGTCTATTCCACGGTACGCTAGTTCACAAATGAAATGTGAAGCGGACTGTGGAAGATGCCAATCAAGGTGATCCACATTAAAGCTTTATCATATCTATACCGTTTCTATTCCAAGGAATTTGTAAATTGTATATTGTATTCAATAAAAACCTTACCAATGAGGTGCAATATCTCCAGGCCGTTTATAAAATTGTAAATCTTCCTCATGAAGCCTTCCATGAAGATGACTTCTGACAGGCAGATGCAGAGGTAACGCAGCTTCGTAGGAAACGCCTGCATCTCTGAGAAGTCATGGAGTTGCATCGCTGAAAAGAAATTAATGATTACTTTAGGATATCAAAAGTGTCGATTGATAAGTTTTTTTTTCCTACATGTGTCTTCACTAAGACATCATGGGACATTACGGTCTAGCCTAACTTAAGACTAATTAGTAATTGAAGTCTAACCTAACTTACTAATAAGGAATAAGGATTGAGTCCACAAAATGGCATGAGAATATCTTTTTTTTATTGATAAAAAGCTTGCCAACGCTCGGCACACTAATACATTGGTATAAACAAACAAAAAAAACAATTTTTAATGTGACAAGCACTTAAAGGCAAACATGACATACATGTAGAGATCATACAAATATCAATCAAAACAATTATTAAACAAAACAAACATTACAACAACAAAAAATAATTGCTAATCAAAAAAATTAAAATTACAAAAATCGATTTTATAGTGTGAGGGGAGAATGTGAAGACTACGTGGATCATTGTTTTTTATTTATTTTATACTTTTCTCAGTTTTAGTCATAGTCTGATAGTTTGAGTAATTTATGCGGCCTACCCAAATGTCTTTTCTTTTGGTATTGTTCGTCGAATCGTTATACGCGTTGCAGACCAAGAGCTAAGCTACGTTAGTTTAGCTTAGCTCGCATAGCTGACGCAATTTTCCATACATCTGTGCAGACCGCAAACTATGCGAACTAAGCTATGTGAGCTAACTAAAATATGCGAAGCTAAGTTAGTTGTGTATGCCGATGCGCAGCTACACGAGCTAAGCTAAGCCCCTCCCGCTTCCCCGCACACCCTTTGCACATAGTATGCAACACTAAACTGAGCTTTGGGTTAGCTGTTGGTGTGCACGCTATTTATTTCTAGCTTAGCTTAGCCTAGCTTGCTTGGCATAGCTTAGTTTAGCCTTGGCATAGCTTAGTTTTCGGTCTGCAACCGGCTTCAAGCTCCTTAAGTTTTGAGTTTTGCTGCACGATTACTGACAAATGCGTGCACTGACTTGACAGGTCCACTCAATCTGTGTGGTTCTTTCCTCAAAAGACCATTTCAGACTGCAGTCTACATGGTCTTCATATGATCTGTCCAAGATTATATCTGAACTTTAAAAGAGACTGTGACCTCTGAGTTTGTTTCGGCGTTTCTTCTCAGAGTAGTCAGATAGGAAACGTCGAACTCATCTAGTTTTAAAAAAATATGCTTGACGTGTAAAAGTGTTTGTACAAACCTACTTACAGAAAATAAATCATTTATCAACTATGGATATCCAGACCTAGCTCGTTTATCAGAATGCTTAATCTGGACATCGGTAAGCTTTGACCGAAACGCGTTCTACGGAATGGGACAAATGGAATAAGCGTGGAGGAAGGATAAGAACTAACTCCGGGCGATTGTAAGCAATTTAGAAATTCTTGTTTGAGATTTCTCGTAAGTAAAGTATATTTGAAATGTTAAAAAAAATTATTACGATAAGACAAAAATATAACTTATCACTTAAATATAATTTTTACGTTTAAATTTTGATTCTTATAAAATGATGACTAGTAAATTTTAGGCTTTACTTTTTCAATATAATTTTTTTTTACGCAATTATTATTTCATGGTTTCGGAATAATTCGGTTTTAATAAACAAACGTTTTCTTACCAGTACTGAAGTCCAGTAGCATATGAGTCAGATTGGGGCACTTGGCAGCTAACTCATGGAGTACTGTGTGAGTTATCAGCTCAATCGGGAGTTCGATGTAGCGAAGAGATGGGCCGAATCTGATCGAAATCAATGCTAGGAGAGATTCTAGGGAACCTATAACATACATTTTATGCACAATAATACTTTTAACTATACTTTTGGATAATAACTAATCTTGATTTGTACAGCAGTGTTGGCCTTGTGGCTTCAGCGTGCGACTCTCCTCCCTGAGGTCGTAGGTTCGATCCTCGGCTGTGCACCAATGGACTTTCTTTCTATGTGCGCATTTAACATTAACTCGAACGGTGAAGAAAACATCGTGAGGAAACCGGCTTGCCTTAGACCCAAAAGGTCAACGGCGTGCGTCAGGCACAGAAGGCTGATCACCTACTTGCCTATTAGATTACCAAATGATCATTAAACAGGTACAGAAATCTGAGGACCTAAAAAGGTTGTAGCGCCATTGATTTATTTTATTATTTATCTTGATTTGTAAGTAGATAAGAGCTGCTTATTTAGACATTAAGAGATAATAACTTTTTTAAATCAGTTTATACCGTAATAATAAACCTGTTAGAACCACTAAAATCTATTAAGAATCGTTCAGCTTTTTAAACATTCTGAATGGCCTTACCAACGTGTAAACCAGAAATCTCGGGTCTCAAACTGACATGGGTCCACAATCGCGTGTCATATGCAACCATTCGCCAACGTTTGCACACGGTGGCCATGCGACATATTTCCCGATGTGTGAGGTAGCAGAATATGTTCAGCAACACTTTATCTGGCAGCTTTTCTATAGTCTGGAACAAATATTTTCGTATAAGATATCATCAAGCTTTTGAAGCTCAAGACTGTCGACAAAGTATTTTTTACCTATTTTGACAGATCAATCAACAATCTTCCTGTAAATTATAGTTAAACTAAACAGTCTTAACCTTAAAATATATTGTTTGTGTATTCTACAACATACAAATATATGTGTTATATGTTTACTCACGTTTTATAGCATTACAAATAATCTAAAACCTCAATAAATTGGTGTAGAAAGGTTAGAGAAATTCATAAACAGGTCAAGAACACAAACAATATCATCGTTTACCGTATTAGCAAAGGGACTCCTCATTCCACCTTCAGTCAAATATACCTGGCTGGCCTCGAGGGCCAGCTGTCCCCAAACATCTGTTGGTATATCCATAACTACACTTAATCACTACAAATGTATAAAAATGCACAATATTACTGATATTAGGGAGGAACCACGGTCGTATCTAAGAAAAGCCGAGTTAATTTTAGAATCAGCTGGTCGGCTCGGTTGGAGTAGGAATCAGTTGGAATACTTTTTAATTTATATAAAACCTATTTTGAAACGGAAATATTTTTAATAAAAAAGGCGAATTTAAATAGGTTTTATTAAATAAAAGTTGGAGGAGGCGGAATAAACCACGTGCGTTTGAACAATTTCAAACGCCTGTAAAAATAATCGTGAATTTTGTTTTGAAAATTGTTGGAAATATTTTAAATAATTACATAAGACGGTGTTACGCACTTTTATATGACAAAAAGTAGGTATAAAGTAGAGTATATAAGCTAATATCCTAATGGAAAAAGATATTCTTGGATTGGAATGATCGAAAATATAGTAATTATAAACGCCTACTTAATTTTAAAGAGCAAAATGTAAGAAACGTTACACACAACGTAAAGATACGTAAAAAGTGAAAAACCGACTTGGCTCTTTTTCCTCCTAAGCGGTATAACGGGATATCCAGTACTCGTATCCTCCATTTTGAAGACAAGGGGTCGTGCAGGTAGATAAGCTGAAGCATTTGTTATGTGTTAGTAGCTCCTGTGTAAGAAAATATTAGATTAGTTGCGTGAAATAACACTGGCATTCAACTTTTTACTTCTTTATTAGAATTAGTACTATCTAGTCGAAGATAGAGGTGTCGCTACAAAATGTTTGTTTAAATTACACCTCATAATTGCTGTTAAACACAAAGTAGAACAGTGGTCATAAATTGCTTAGTTGTTAGTGGAAAAGTTAATTTTTCGCAGGTAAAACACATTTAATGTTACTTGTGTAATTAAAATAAAGTCTTACTCTCTGTATAGCAGATTCTCATACTAAAGTCAATTTGTGTATATTGGAATCTTCAGTATTTTCTCTATAGGAGCTTAAGAGCAGGTAAATTTCAGAAATTTAAAGCCCCATACAGTGGCGTAACTAATCTAGGGCCGTGGCAAATACTTTTTATGGGGCCTTACGAGTGAAAATCGATACGTTGTACTCAGTTCAATTTTAATATACTTCGAGATTTTCAGCGTACTCAATTACACGTTGTATATGTCCCACTAATGGCCATAGGCCTTCTCTCTTAGGCGAGAGGCGTCTGTAGTCCGCACGCTAGCCTGATACGTATTGGAGGCTTCACATTCATCCATTGAACATAATATCTCTTGGTCAGGGGTCCTCGTGGGTCGGGGGCCCGTGGCATTTTGCCAGCCCTGCCACCCTATTGTTACGCCACTGGCTTCGTACGTTAAAAGTGCATTGTATTTTAACATATACGGGTGATAGTTCGCGCATACACCTTTTTTAATGTCACCCGTGTCGAGATTTAGCTCGAACCATGAATTATGTCAAATAATGCATTTTAATCCTTAGTTATTATTATTCGATCAAAGGCCAATTTATAATAATAAATCAATTTCAAATCGATTAGAGTAATAGCAATCCGTTTGCCAAAACATCACTTAAGATTAAAATCAATTGCTTTGAACATGCAACGACTGTTATTTATACTTTCTGGTTATTCCAACAATAGATAATACTGGTGTACCTGTAATCATATAACTATAGGTCATCATAGAACTAATCGAGTGAATAATACTCTGTCTTCGATTTTATTATATACCTATTGATGTATAAAAGTCGAAAAGCCCTTTTGCCTTATATTTTGGCTAAAAATATTTACTGAATTCTTTATCACAATATTTTATGTGATAAAAAGGTCACCTGACAGAGACCAAACAAATTGCGGAATTCACTTAAAAAGTAATGAACTGCAAAAGTCTACGTGATATATTCGATTTGGCGAAGAATGCGAACTAATAAAATGCAAATTGACACTTGTTTACTGTCCTCTCCCATGTACTATGTACTCACCCAATTAAATGTGTTACCAAGTATAGATTTAATGACAATTCAAGTTATTTTTTTATTCACTATTGTTTGTTAACAAACAGGTTATAAAATAGAATAAATACTAATAGTACTTCATTTTTTTTAAATTTATTATTTGAAGTGCATTGTTGGCCTAGTGGTATCCGTGTGCGACTGCATCCCTGAGGTCGTAGGTTCGATCCCCGGCTGTAAACATTTCACACTCGTACGCTCGGCAATCGACCCAAAAACTGTGTCACAGGAAAGCCTGAACACCTGCCTATTACAAAAAACAAATGATCACGAAACAGATACAGGATCTGTGCCGGTTTTTATTATAAAATTTCTTTATATCCATAATTAAGCAATGGATTCTTATATGATTATTTTATATTTACTAGCAATATGTAAGCAGTTTGCGCGTCTCTCGCGTCGTAGTAGAGGTTCGATTCCCGGCTTTTTACCAATGGAATTTTCAATTACATGGAATCGTAATGGTTTTTTTTGTCTATGTGCGCAATCAATTTGCTCATACAGTAAAGAAAAATATCGACAGGCATATCTAAGACGAAAAAAACGAAGGCCTGTGTAGTTTTGTAAGCTTCTATTGGGAAATTATAAAAAAAGAGACTAAATCATTGCAGCGCCACACTTTTTAACCAACTTCATAAATGTTTCTTTTATGCTATTTATTGTATCAAAGGTATCCCAAATATGCCAGTAATTTTTCCCGTCTGCCGTTTTGAAACTTAGCCGTCGCGAAGTATTTCCTGCCGTTCTGAGTCACATTCTAAAGTCTGCAAAATTAAACACTACCCATCCACATTTCATGACAAAATTTAATTTAGGAGCGTTATAAATAAAAGGAAAAACAAAACAATATCGCTTATCAAACAACGCTAATCAAACGTCTCTCGATTTACAGTCTCTGTCCTTACTTCAAATTAAGTGTCGAATATAAATTCGACAAAAGATTAAGTCAAAATTCTCTAAAGGAAATGGCTCTTTGATCAACATGTTAGTCACACTGCAACTTGGAACAATAATAATGTATCAAAGTCTCTAGAACTTAGTATTGAATATGTATAAGTAATGCTTTAAATGATTTAAAGGCTGGTATTGAATGAATGAAATGCTTGGAGCATTAGTTAGCTCGAATAAAATTGACATTTAAGACATGTCAAATGATTAGAATTTATCAGAACATTGACCATCCTTCCAGAAACTGCCATGCGATTCTGTAACTCACTTTTCAAACTCACACAGCGGTTTTCGCATCGGCGGTCGCTCTCAAATCAGTCGTGAAACAGTCATTTTATGATTTGGCATTCTGATAAACAATAAACTACAAGCTCCCACCTTTTCAAAGCGAAAACCGCTGTGTGAGTTCGAAAAGTGAGTTACAGAATCGCAGGGCAGGACCTGCAATAAATACCTTGGTATATAATATCGAATCTATTGCTTTAGTAAAATTGTCTAGATGTAGAATATGCGTGATAATTTAGACACATATATATAGATTTTTTATTGATATGATAAAAGTCAAAATATAACGTCTTTTCAACTCAAATAATGTCAATATGTATAGCGAGCAGCGGGTTAGCCGACCATGACACCTAGTTAGATTAATTAATTAATTATTATCGGCTAATTTTAGCTCTGGCTCTAGAGTCTTGGCTTGGATAAGATGTAGACGCTTGTAATATTGTTAACAAGATATTATAACAACTTGATTCGTATATACGTACCGTGTGTCCATAATATGAATAAATATTAACCTATCATGTCCGCAATCATATTTTATGTTGGTAAATAGACAGGTATAATCTACCTTAGTGGAACTATTATTATTTCGTCCACCTTAAACAAAAGATTAAGCCTTTTTATAAGTCAGGCTTAAACAAATCTGCAGAGCAGTGTTGGCTTAGTGGCTTCAGCGTGCGACTCTCATCCCTGAGGTCGTAGGTTCGATCCTCGGAATTGCACCAATGGACTTTCTTTCTATGTGCGCATTTAACATTTGCTCCAAACGGTGAAGGAAAACATCATGAGGAAACCAACATGTCTTAGACCCAAAAAGTCAACGGCGTGTGTCAGGCACTGGAGGCTGATCACCTACTTGCTTATTAGATTTAAAAATGATCATGAAACATATTCAGAAATCTGAGGCCCAGATCTAAAAAGGTTGTAGCGGCACTGATTTTTTTTAAAACAAACCAGAAAAAAATTAAGTGCCGCAATTTTTGTTGTTTTGTTGATGGTTATAAACATTTGTAAAAACCTTTTATACTAACCACTTGATAGGTTTCTGTTTATAATGGGACATCGTCTACACAAACATCGCAATTTTACATCTTTGAAAAGCATTTGGTATCCAAATAATCCTTATTTATTTTGGCCTATAATTTTGGCTGTTAATATAAAACTGGCATGTTACATCTTGATGATTGACGTCAGAACAATGTTAGAAAAATATTAATTTCTATTCGCATCTGGTTTCGTGACACAAATTGTTTAGTTCTTAATCATAGTTATTTATGTTATTATAGATAGAACTGTGTTAGATTTACTCAGCTTCTTTAGTTGAGATATCGACATCGCCTAACTCGTCCTAGGCGATACAGACTGGCATTATTCCAGAAAAAAAAGGAATAAAAGCAGGAAAAGTAGAAACAAGATTATCATTTTCTTACAATTTATATAAATATAAACGAGAGTGAATAAAAATTAATAATACCTATCCTCAAAGAATTGAATAGAAATATTTAAGGTACCCACGTAGGAATCAATTAGTATGTATTATTATTATCATTATCATATAAATAAAAAACTCTATGAAGTTCGGACTAAGGAAAGTATACTTTTAAACTAAACACTTACTAAGTATGAGATAACCGATAATGTTGGCTAGTATAATAAAGTACGTACGTAGTGATAGAATTAAACTTCTTTTAGTGAAGTAATAAATAAAAAAACTTACCACATGCTTCCGCCGGAAACTGGCGCCCGTATCATCTCTCGAGATAATAGCT